AGTCTAGAAGTAATATGGCCAGTTTACAGTTAAACCTCATTTATCTCTTGGGTGTCATTGCATTGTCATTGTATACAATACTTTTAGAATTGCTTTGGCATGTCTGTGGAGTTGCATCAGGGAAAATTTCTTCATGGAGACTTGCTTAGGAAATGTTTATATCTCAGTTTTTACTGAGTAGCACAGACATGAAACACAGTGTCTATAAAATAAAGTACTCAACCTTTCAGACACCAATATCTAGTTCAGATAAATAGAATGTTTAGTGAAGGTGAAACTCGGCATGAAACAACGTGAGCTGAGTATATTCCTTCGGACAAGAGAAAAGAGCCTAAAGTTGGTGAATGGTGAAATCTAATTTGTTCAGCTACATATAAGCATGAGAGCCTTTCGGCCAGAAGATTAGTGGTGCAAGTCCTTCTAAACTATAAGCAGATGGTAACTTTTTCAGGATTTGTGAGGTTTTACATTGCAACCTTATGTCGTGATCTGTATTTTTATTTCTGTATTATCACAGAATCACAGAATGGTTGAGGTTGGAAGGAACCTCTGGAGATCATCTGCTCAAGCAGGGCCACCTAGAACTGGTTGCCCAGGACCATGTCCAGATGGCTTTTGAATATCTCTAAGGTGGGAGGTTCCACAACCTCTTTAGGCAACCTGTGCCAGTGCTCGGTCACCCTCACAGTAAAAAAGTGTTTCCTGATGTTCAGACAGAACCTCCTGTGTTTCAGTTTGTGCCCATTACCTCTTGTCCTCACTGGGCACCACTGAAAAGAGCCTGGCTCTGTCTTCTTTGCACCCTCCCTTCAGGTATTTATATACATTAAGAAGATCCCCCCTGAGCCTTCTCTTCTCTAGGCTGAACAGTCCCAGCTCCCTCAGCCTTTCCTCATATGTCAGACACTCCAGTCCCTTAATCAGCTTCGTGGCCCTTTGCTGGTCTCTTTCCAGTATGTCCATGTCTCTCTTGTACTGGGGAACCCAGAACTGGACCCAGCACTCCATGTGTGGCCTCGCCAGTGCTGAGCAGAGGGGAAGGATCACCTTCCTCGACCTGCTGGCAACATGCAGGCCAGGAGTTATATGCATCTTTGTGTTGGACTGCCATATAAAAAGGTAGATAGATTTATCCTATGAAAATAGTCACAATGCAGACTCATAGCTAATATCCATTTAATTGTGCAGCTGCACATTTTGAACCTCAGGAACTAAGGTACATGCTTATTGACTCAGTAGGAGTTTATTTTAGCAGGACAGGGTAGTAATATGGTGCCTCCAACTCATCTTCATGTCTGTAGGCTAAGGGCATTCTGGTCCTACATTAGACATGAAAGGGGTTTTCCTCCATTCCATGGCCACCATTCCAGAGGCAGTGGATCTAGCTGCAATGCCTGGAGAAGGAGTGGTCAAACAAGATGGACACCTGCAGATTCCCTGTAACATTTCCCTCCTCCCCTCCCCCTAAAAAATCAAAGAAGCAACAACCAACAAAAGTAGGAAATTATGGGGACACAACATCATCTGAGACTTCTTGAGCAAACAGGGCAATTAAATGTCTTAGGTGCACAGTAAGCCTTTTCGTCCCATCTTCTTCCCTACTCAAGTGTGTGTTTTGTAACAGCAATGGTGTGGGAGCCCTCAGAGCATGGATTTTGTAGCAAGCAAAGTCAGGGAAGGTTGAGAGATCAAGGAGCCACACAAAAGGCAAGTCTATCCCCATGGATAGCCCTTTCCTCCATTGGAATATCCCTCTTTCCTGAGAGACACGTACACACAGATTTTAGGAGTTCTTTGAAGTCAGAGGGCAGACTCACAACTTCGGCCACAGGAGACAAACCCAGCTCCATGCCTTTCCTGAGGAAAAAAGAAGGAATTCTACAAAATCAGACTCTCAGAGTTTAACCAGTCTGACACAGGTTATCATCACAGAGAGGAGAACATATCCCCAAGTAAGGACTTCTGGATTGAGTTTGCATAAATAAACCTCAGGGAGTGAGTGGGTGAGTGAGTCAAGTGAAAGATACCAAGAACAAAGGTGAAATTTTACATTTCTGTGGCTGCTGAGTATGCGCCCAGTTCAGTGGTACTGGGAGAGCTGATGTCCACCTTTAAGAATAGAATTAAAAAAACAATCAGCTTGAGGTGAAAGTTTTTATGTACTGGACTTGCAGTGCTGGCAAGTCATTACTAAAGAGTAACTAGTGCCAAAATGTGAAACGAGATCTTCATACGGCTGCTGATTAAGTGGATCTACTTCCCCAGTCATCCGTCCAATATTCCAGTTGAACCTCCAGCCAAAATTCATGAGGCAAATTTCATTACACTAGTGGTGCCTAACCTGGAGTTGGCATTCTGCTGTAGTCATGATGGTGGGATGGATAGGAGGCTGAAAGATGAATTAATAACACTTCATTATGATGAAATATCAAAGTATGTTGGAAGGTCACCTTGTGTTGTATAATTATATATTCAAAAGAACTTAAATTCTTGCTTCAGCCCTTAGTGAATCTGAGACAGCAGCAACGATGGGAAAAACCTCCTTTAAAAATCCCAAGAATCATACTTGTTTTGGCATGACACTGCCTAAGGTGATTTGCGAACAAGGCTGACTTTGCCAAGCTTTCACATTAACGCAAGGTTCAGCATACATTTTAAAACATTAAATCAGCTTTCCATTTGCATGGATAGGATTATTTGACTGTGTAGGTTTTGTTAGTTTGAAGGGCCCCAATATTCTAACGCTGGAGCCAAAATTAAATACTCAAAGTAACAGTATGTTAATAATTTTAAGCAGTCATTCAAAAAAACTTCTAAAATTGTCATATTGTCTGACTTTGGAAGATATGGAGTGTGTGTGCTGCCACAAACAATACTAGGATTGTAGCTACTGACCATTTTGAAAATCAGGCTAAAACTTACAGCAGAAGTAGATGTTCCTGTGTCCTGGTTTCAGCTGAGATAGAGTTAATTTTCTGAGTAAAGTTGAGCTTTGTTTTTTTGTAGAAGCCAGTATTGCTGGATACCTTAAAGCTTAAAAAAATACAGAAACCTCTAAGTGTGAGTTGAAATGGTCTGGTCAAAGAGGCTGCAGTTAGTAAATATCATGTATATCTGGGAAGCAGCACATACCATTATTTATGATTTATTCAGAATCAAAATAAATTAAGCCCTTTATGGACAAGTAACAGGCTACCGCATTTTACCCCATCATTTTCAATCTGATGTCTTATGGTTTCAAATCGGACTTGATGAAATTGTTCCCTCACTGTCCCTGCACAAAGCAGTTTGCAGTGTAAGTTGATATGGCATGACCTGAATGGCAGCAAACATGAAGGAGACAAAATGCATGTTTAGTTCATCAAAGATGGTCAGCATGTCTTCCAGTTATTGCTCTGCTCTTTTTCTTGGTGGCCCAGATTTCTGCAGAGATTATTATGACTAACTGAGAAATGTCACAGTGCTCTGGGTCTACTCACTGTATTTGGTGTGGACCCGCAAGACAGGCAATGACATGGAGCTCTATTGTCTATCTGAGAGTGTCAAGATGTAAAGTGCCATTTTTCAGAATTAACTCATGGTTAGCAAAAGGAGATCCAGACCCTACACCTGCTCCTGCATATGGGCAATGAGAGGGGAAGGACTATAGCAGAGACTCCTTGTTCTCCCAGTGTAGATGGGAGAGGTCTTCTCCTATGAAGAGCAACAGTGACATGATGTCTTTGGCTATCACTGCTGTTAAGGACCTGTATCAGACAGAAGAAAAGGAGTATGCAGAAAGAGGCAGGAGAACTGTCGTTTCTCCGTAACCAAAGGCTGCCAGTGAAAACATGGGAATATGCATTGTTTGTCACGTCACCAGGTCTCAGTTGAACAGTTGTGGAAACTGTAACCGTAAGCTTACAGCACGCACCGTACTCCAAGAGCTGTGCTCCAGAAGAGAGGGGCAGCCTGGCTATCAGTCGACCCAAGTTAGTATCTCAGTTTGCAGTGTGTCTGAATTGCATTTCTTGGAGTAATCTACCATTTGTTGAACCAAAATCATATGCAACATCTGGAGCTTGATCATCACAGATGCCCTCATTCTTGGCTGGATCTTTAATCATCCGTCAGTAATCTGTGGGAATGTCTTGGGAGTTTAAACATAAAATTGCACTGTTGATCACACCTTACTGAATTCAACACAAAGATGGCAATACAGCCATACAGCCATTCAAATCTGAATTTCATATTTTACTTAGGCACTATGGGATGATAGTATTTTATAAATGATGAGTGAAAATATTTTAAATTGCACTTTGAAAAGAAAAAGCGTGTACCACTCTCTGAAAGTATTTTTAGTCGCTGTTTTTTCTGAAAGCCTTTGGACATTCAGCCTATTAATTTGTTTCTTTCCTGAACGTATCTTTATTTATGCAGCAGAAGTATTCCTCTCCTTCAAGGTAAATTCTGTACCGTTTCACAACCCATTCTTTACAGACCGTCATAAATCCATTGTCCTTTTTTTGACCCCTTAAACCTAGGAGCACATTTCCAATATACAATATACAAGAAATTTAATTTTGAATTTATATCCATAATAATTAATCTCTAATTTTATTATGTTTTAATGAATTGCATGACATTCACTCTGTTTTTGTCTCTCTAAACAGCTATTTAAGTATGTTCTTTATAGTGAAAAATATTTTGTTAATTATATAATTCATAGGCTAGTATTAGTTGAGAGAAAGTTATTTCATTCATGTTAAAGGACGCAATTAAATTTTCAAAAGTAGCATACTCAAAAATATGTCTCATCTGTCCCCTTTTTTATCAGTGTTAGTAGAAACTTGAAAGGTACGCTCACAGACTGGATAAAACATGGAGGCAGAAGAAGTGAGGTCTCAAAAAAAATAACACATTTTCACCTTACGCTGGCAGCTGTCAATGATAAATATAAATTCAATTTAATAAAATATTAAAGCAAGTCATATGCTAAAAATATTTCTTTATTCTTTCAGACCACTCTTCCGTGGAAATTCAGATGTTGATCAGCTAGGAAAAATCTTTGAGTAAGTAATAACTAGTTGCATTATTCCAATATATGTTTAACATTGAAACACTGTGAGGTTTCTTTGCCATGTTTTTATGCAATAATGTGACTAGAACAAAGTATTCCTAGAACATATTTCCTATTGCTACCGTATGCAACATGATATTTCCGTGTATTCTGTGTCAGAGTGGGAGGAGGAAGCAACATGGAATATAGTTCTGCAGAACTAACAGCCATCATCAGGAAGTTATGAGAGACTTCTGTTTCGGGCTTTTTAAATCTCTTAAACATATTGTGCATGTACCATTCATGCATATTCCTAAACAGTTAGATCCAAGAGATTCTCTTCACATAAACAAATGCAGAGGTTTTATTTTTCAGTAATTTCTTTGTGTATTTCAGAAAACAACATTGGAATACTTTAAAATTGTTATTAAACTGAAATCTCTAAGATGATTACCAACAGCTTCTTTGCAGAAAAGACTTCTGTACATAAGAAAATATTTTAGCTTTGAAAATATACTGTGTAGCCTGTTAAAATGATTAACAGTCCATATTTTGTTCAGGAAGGTAACTGTAAGAACAGGAGGAATATCAGCATTTTAACATGTGCTTTGTTGGAGATGAACTAATTTGCTTTATTTTAAAACCATTTTACAATTCTAGGAGTTTGTGTTTTTCTTCTTCAGATATATCAAATACGTTGAGGAGGTGGAGAGGCTCTAAACTCTCCGAGGTAGAATAATTCTCTTCCAAAATATATTCTTAGTTAAAAAACAAAAAATTAAGTTATTGATATTACCAACATGATAATTAAGTAGGATTATATCACTTTTTCTTGTAAAAGCTCTTCAGACCAAGGAATGTTTCTGAATTTGTAAGAACCATGTAAACTCAAGATCTCATGTACGTGTCACGTAGTTAGGAAATCAAAGCCACGCAGGGCTGGTCCCACTCCAGAGAATGAATGACCATTTGCCTCTGCACCTCTGTCTTCCCTTTTCATATGGAGGGGCTGCAGGGATCCAGGGATCTGGATGAAATAAGAAATAGATAGCAGAGAGAGAGAGAGAGAGAGGAAGGCTGAAATATTCTTCTCTTGAAGATACTCCAAAGATAAGATAGTAAAATTTCTAAGGAGAAGAGCTTAAACAGAACAAATAATGAATTTCTCTGTTTAAACATTTTTCCAGTTCTCAAATCATAACAGATCTGTTTCGAAGCATTTTCATTATTTAATATGAGGTTCCTAAATTGCAGGTCTTGATTTCACACAGTTGACTTCCCTTTCCTGCATACCATACCAGTGTATGTGACTCACTTGCGTGGTTAATTTGTCATGCGCTGAATAGCTCTTCCTGCCCAATCCAGAAAAATCAGTCCTTAAAGTTTACTTTTTCTTCTTCTGCCAAAGCTACTCCTTTAGTCCTACAATATTCTGCTTTATTAAATGAAGGCAGTTTCGATACATACAACATATTTTATAATTTTAAAAGACATAGCTGTGATTTTTTCAAGGATTTTGATTCGTTTCTGACATTTAAGGGGAAAAATCAAAATGAACTGGGCTAGGATTAAATGCATAGCTGCTAGCGGCAGCCTCCGATGGGGATCTTTCCATCCCTAGGGGCCGAGATTACCTGTGCAGAAAAGAATTCATCAAGAAGAGAAAATGCCATGCTAATATTAGAAGAAATTCCTTATTACACATCTACTTAAAGAGAAAGTTTGTTTTCGCTTCTTTTGTGCAGTTGTCCTTAAATAGTTCAAAAGTTTCTTTCTTGGGTTCGGGGGGATTATGCTAAATAGTGTTTATTTTGTGTTTTCACAGCTGGAGAACCCCCTACAGTTAGGCATAGCTCTTCTTGTAGGAGGATTGTTTCCTTCTACAGTAGTGACTCATTCTGCAGACTAATTTGGACAGAAAGTAGTTTTGGGATTTTCGTGCAATCTGGACTGATGCATTCTTTCAGATAATGAGGCTGTGGTCTACCTTTGCTTTACATGTGCGTTCTGATTTGCACCAGGTAAAATTCCACCATGTTTGAGGGTAAATTCCTCGGAGGTGGCCCAAAACCATTTCCTGCTTTTCCAGGACATCATCAGGGTGTGGGATATCCTCATAGATTTCAGGCTAAACGCTGCAATGGTTTGAGCAGACTCGTCTCCCATTGTGATCAATGGGAGTGGAAAGTACTCTGCGTTTCTCAAGACCAGGCCTGAACCTTTGGCAGGAGGTGAAACTCATCCAAGATACTCCCAAACTTAGTCACTGAAATGGTAGTGCTACCAGACCAGGGTGAGGGCATCTACTCAGGCATTCATTATTAAGAGTTTTGAGTACTACGTGAGTGTGTAACTAAAAATGTCTCTCCTTTCCACTCTTGGTCTTGTTCACCCTACCTGTCTGACAGGCTGCCTCCTTGTTTCATTTTGTTAGCTTTGCCTGTGCCTGTGCTTATTCTGCCCTGTTCATGCTCTCTCATGCAAACATTAAAAAAACTGGGACTAACCAAACACATTTGAATGGCAGGTTAAACTCCATTGTTACTAACTCCCCCATCTTCCTACGGTGCTGTTTGTATTACATTTAATACAGGTCCAGATCCTCAAACAGCTAATCATATGGCTTTAACCACCGTGGCCAAGGGAGTTACCCCATACCCCCACCATACCTGTGATGATAAAAGTCAAATTCAGTTTTTCATACAGATTTAACTTATCATTTCCCAAGAGCTGTGATACCTTCAGATGCAGTAAAATTAAATTGTCCTGAAATTTTAATTGCTTTGCCCTTCTAGCCATGCTGTTGTTTTGAGGACATATTAATTTTTGGAGGTATTTTAAGTGAGCCAAATTACAATCTAAAATCCATGTAGGTAGATGTGGAGTAATTCCACTAAGTTCACTGAGGTAACCTGGGATTTACATCAAAGTGTCCGGCCCATGGCCTCACCCAGTCTTACTACCAACCTCAGTAAGAGTAAAGGTCAATGCTGCTCCCTAGTGGCATTGGGCTTAGTGCAGACCCAAGTATTCAGTGACGTTTTTTCATGTTCCTTCTTGTCTTACCCTGTCGGCGTTTCCATTAAAAATCTCGATTTTACAGGCTGTAAAAATTGATTTTCCCTGAAACCTGACAAGTAATGTATGGTCTTTTCCAGAATTTCCATCAGAAACTGGCGTTTCAAGCCCACAAATATTAACATCAGACTAAAACATGAAATGTATAAGACATGATCCATCATTGGAGGTTTACCTACTGTTCCATTTATTTGGGTTTTAAACCTTAGCATTATTATTTAAGAAGTATGAATATCTTTTAGAATTTAAAGAATAAAGAAATAAATTATTTTTAAAAATTAAATATTATTTATTAAATATTTATATAATTAAATAAATATATTAAGTGTTAATTTAATTAAAAAATTAAAGGGTAAAGAAAATCTAAAATACAACTGAAAGTAAAAACATAAAGATACTTGAGTCCTATGCCACTTCTGAGTTGAGACTTTAAAACCTGTATTGTGAAGCAAATAAATTGTTTAAATTTGGGCAACAATTACTACACGTAGCTTTGAAGCATTATGAAACATCCCTTTTATTGCCTTACCCTCATCTTGACCCACACTCTTCTCTCAGTCCCTATTCTTGTGAATAAAGATCCTTGCATGCAATTCCCCTTTGAAACTTACTGCTTTTAATCATCCTGGAGCGACATATGTTGCACCATCCAGTCAAGAGCTGAGCAACTTTCTTCCAAAGCACTCAACCCTTTTTCAACAAAAAGACTCAGAAAATTGAGACCTAGGCCAGAAAATTGTGCTGGGCACAGAATGATTTCTACCAAGCACACTGAGGACCTACACTCATCAGCCTCTATTCACAGAGATCAGTGCACTAGTGTACAATTAATCTCATTTAAACGAAAAGACTTATAAAGTAAACTGCCACTCAGTATAATCAATATAAAGGGGAGACTGCATGAATGTTCAGACCTAACATTATGTTTTTCCTTTCACAGTGTAATTGGACTCCCAGAAGAAGAGGACTGGCCTAATGATGTTGCCCTTCCAAGAAACGCTTTCACTTCCAGACCCGCACAACCTATTGAAAAATTTGTACCAGATATTGATGAACTGGGCAAAGACTTGCTTCTTGTGAGTTTCTATTTGTTGTTCTCCAAGCTGCATGACTGATAGTTCCCACTGTGCATGCAACATGCCAAGAAATATTTATGTTTCCATTTAACGGAGTTACTAAAGAAAAGCTCAAAAGTAGATAGACAAATTCATGTAAATCTGTGAAACATCAGCACAAAGACACCGCCTTTGGCTCAGGAGGTGTTAAAGCTGAGAATAGTTAGAGACTAGGAAACTGTGATAGGGAAGTACCTGTCTGACCTGTCTTTAGACCTTATGCTTAGATCCTCATTACTGACCACTGTTGTGCCACTGATTCAGCCATTCTTATAGTACAAGCCTGATGCGTACAAAAACTGATCTACCATTTTTCATGGTATAGTGGACCCAGCATAAAGCAGAAAATAGTCTGTAGAGGCAGATTACATCTGCATGCCTTCTATGGAATGCTGAAAACTTGAGATTTGGAATTCGCCAGTTGTTGCCTCTTACAAATGGCAGGATTGAACAGAAGCAAACAAATTGTGCTGGTACAACTGGTAACACTGAATTCAACTAAATTATTTCCATCATTTTTATAGATATGTCATAAACCCCAGCCCTGAAGTTCAGTCTTGGAATGGAATACGGGGAATGCCCTTGCCTCAGTTTGCCTTTTGCCATGCTTGTTGAAATCTAGCTAAATTTGTTCTCTGGAAGCCTTTAAAAGATCTTGGTTCACATGGGCTCGGTAGAGTGGGTTCAGTGCAACTCTTGAAAGACCTGCTGCATCCTTTCAGGCACTGCTATCTCTGGCCAATGTTGTCTCTACAGAACAGCAGATTGTACTCCATTGTCCTTATGAGTGCAGCTCACAGCTGCAGCAAGCTGGACCACATCTGGACACTTGAAATGACAGGGGAGAAACACATCTGTTGTGCTTGCAGGCAGCCCGGAAATGGAAGCTAGACGTTGGACAAGAATTAGATTCTGGGAACAGCAAGGAATAAAATAAGGCAGAGAGCTCAGTGAGTGTGAGGCATGATGGGAGGGAGAAAGAAGACAAATATCTATGCCTAGAAGGTGAGGTGGGAAGGGAAGCTGTTCCTGTTAGGCAAAGAGATGAGAACTAGGAGCCACAGATAAAAGGGGAGAGTAGGACTGGAAGTCACTGAATTCAATTTTAGAAGTTAAATGATAGAAATTCTGATACAAGAAAAGAAAGTAGGAGTAGGAAGTGGTTAGACAAGGATAGTAGGAAGAATACTATTTGGAGGTGAATGAAGGAAAAGAGAAGAGCAAGGTATAAAACGCAAGGCTATGGGAGAGATTTCAGCGCTGGCTGGACAAAGGCTGGGATAAGGATCTGGAAAGAAGGCAAGCGAAGTACAACTAGGAAGAAAAGGGAGAAACTGAACACCAAGCATTAGCATATGAAGGCTATAAAGTCAAAGACCCAACACCTATAGAAATGCTGAGCCTAGGAATGAACATGTACCTCATGATGCCGTCCATGTTTGTATAACCACAAAAGAACAGTGCATTGAACACTGAGGGGATTCAGAAGTTATTCATGAATAGTTGCTCCCTACAGTCTGAGAGACAGATGTCCTGTGCATATGAATTCAAGAAAACCTGAATTCTGGGATTTCCTAAACTATGAACACTTGAATTTTCTAACTTGTTATTTTCTCTTAGCTTTGGGGATGCCATATTCATATACTATGACCCCACTGCTTGTTTTAATATGGATGGTCATTTTATCATGCAGCACCTACTGAGACCCTGTTGGGTCTCATACTGATCATAAAGTGAAGGTGGCATGCATTAACGTGTATATGCAATGTTAGCACTGTTAACTGTACATTTTAGTTAAAACCAACTTCTTTTCATACTTACAGAAATGCTTAGCGTTCAATCCAGCCAAGAGAATATCTGCCTATGTTGCCCTCTCTCACCCATATTTCCATGATCTGGAGAAATGCAAGGAGAATCTGGACTCTCACATGTCATCCAGCCAAAACTCCAGTGAGGTGAATGCATCATAATGCTGACTGAAGATGAACCATAAATGAACAAGACGTGTAGCTGACAAGGCCACTGTCCCATACAAACCACATAGCTGTTCTAGTGAAGACCGTTACTTGGAGGTTTTATGCACTTATCTTTTATTTTGGGATTGTCATGTGCTTATCTAAGGAAATCAATCTAGTTTACTTTCATGAGAGCAACACAAGGGCCAGGGCTTTGACCTGCTCCCATTGCAGCTTTATGTTTGTTTTGTTTTTGTTTTGTTTATCTACCTGGGAAAACTCCAGACGAAGAGAAGCTGCTGACCAGTTTTGCTGCCATTTTATGCTTTTAATATTGAATGCTGCCAGTGTGGAGTAGGATGACCGAGTCACTGCCAAAACACGATGCAATCTCTCTCTCTAGCTGCTGAAGCATGATTTGGTACTTTTTTATGATTATTATTATTATTATGTGATCTCTTACAGTGGTATTTAAAGAATGGCATTGAAATATCAGATCTCTGCAACCTGCAGTTAACTGATACATGCATTAATACATCCAGCTACTGTTCATTCATAGCATATACACAGGTGCTTCCCCACTTGAAAACTTGGATGGATTATTTTATCATTTAATTGCTCCATAAAAATAACAGTGATGATGGTGATCGTAATAAACGTCTCAACTTTTAGGTTTTTTCATACACAAACGAGTTGTTATCTAGCTACGTTTGTGTGCATGTTGCAAAAAACAAGTGTTTTAAAAAACTTCTAGAGTCCTGTTCTTAAAGACCCTTTTGGTTTCCAAATGGTCGGTTTGTGTTGAAATCCAGGCACATTCTAGCCCATCATCTAACCCGTCATTCCCCCCTGGAAACAGCTGCAAGCACATTTTCTTTATTTCATTCCAAATTTTCTGGTATGCAGCTCAAAGATATGAGCAGAGCCAATGAAAATCAATACAGATTTTCGCCTTCAACCTGTTCTGATTATCAGCCAAAAAGGAAAATAGAAAAAATATTTCCAGTTCAGAAGCAGAGAATCCTATACCTGTAATAAGCACAGATAGGTATTTGTGCTGAATTGTATGCTGTATACTGCGCTGCCTTACCTGCAACACCCCCCCCCCATGCATCACAAGTGCATGAACATTACTGTCTCAAAACCCCTCAGATGTCATTTATTAAGCAGACTTGTTTTCTATGCAGAAATGCATGAGCTTCTCTCCTAAACCACCATGTGGGTATACTGGCACATGCTTCTCCACTAGGTTTAATGTGCCATTATTGAATGTCAAAATAACAAAGCAATTCACATGCCTTTATAGCACAGTTATTTTAAATATTACATTAAATTTTTATATTTAGTATTTTTACCTTAACTAAAATATATTTTCAGTATTTTAAAAAGAAGCTTTTATTTTTTTAATACTGTACTGGGAAAGAAGAAATATTTTAAAGCCATAAAAACTGTTCCCTAGCATGACTTTAGTGCATTTACCTGGATATGACTTTGGGGGAAAATGTTGGTCTAACGAGTTAGCCTTTACCATAAAACCATAAATATACACCATTGCAGTATAACTGATGATAAGTGAGGCAGCTAGCTTTGCTTACTCCTGTGATAGTCCCTTAGGCTCCTCTCTTCCTCATGTCTATTTCATCTTGTCTAGCTAGTGAGCCGGCATTATATCCTCATTCACAGCATGCTTGGCAGAAGCAGGTCCTTAGCAGTGAGTTGAGCAATATAATTTTTCCAGCTGTGGCACAGGAACTTGTAGCCATCTCCCTGGCAGGTTTCTCAGTCCCGTAATAGGCTGGGTGTTGTGGCGAACTTCACTGTTAACTCTGTTTCAAGTGTCTGCACTCTCTGGGACATGGTCCGTTGCTAGCATAGTGAGTGGATCTTACCTGTCTCTTGGATAAAGCTTTTCGTTACTGTTAGACACATAACTATGTGACATATGGTTAAATTAGATCCGTTTTAAATAAGCCAGATTTTAAAAGGACCACTTGCATGCATGCATGCAGTGGCCTGTGCTTTTCTTCATGCCCAGAACGATGCCTATGCAAAACCTACCAGCGTGAACAGGCAAGTTGCAAATTAGGCCTGGCAAGAGCATGCACGAGGCATCTGCACACAGAGATACTACAGATGCATAACACATGAATTTTGGAAGCTCTACGAGTGGCAAGCTGAAGGCCAGGGAGCGGTCACGGCAGCTAACCTTCTAATCTTGGCTTTGCCTCTGTCATTCTCTCTGTTCCTACATCCAAAGGGAACTGTGAACCCACTGCACTGGTGGTGTCCCAGCCCTATTCCTTCATGGGTCGATGGACCGGAGCATGAATAGGTTTTAACATTCGTAGAAAAGGATGGGCCATAAAGAAATCTTGCTAACCTTTTTTAAACACTAATTAGAACAAACTGCGCCAAAATTCAAAAGAATGTTGCAACAGTAACAAATAGAAAAGTTTTCTAGGTGGTTTAGCACTTTTAAAAACATTCCACATTTTACCTAGCGCTGAGCTGTCATACGTACTTTGTCAGGGCATTCAGCTGGTGTGGCTTTCCAGCAGCTGTCAGGGAACTCTCCCAGAGCTCTCCAACAACTAACATAGGGTGAAAATGTAGGGGAGGAGAAGGTATTTTCAAAGTAGGCTCAAAACTCTCAGATAGAGATGTTCATCTGTTCTGTGTTAGAAGAGCTTGTTGTATTAAGCTTAGCGAAGCAAAGGCTAGAAGACAATACGATCGCTGCATGTAGGTACATTATTAGGGTAAAACAAAAAGGAGGGAAGAGAACACTTTAAGCCAAAGGTTAGTGTTGGCCCAAAAACTAATGAGAATATGGAAATCACAAGGAAGCTAACTACTGGAGCAGTATTTCCCAATCAGTAGAATCAGAAGAGCTCAGAGAGCAGCAGAGTAAAGCAAGGGCTGGCTTATGGAATCAGAAGCAGAGCTTCTGCAGCATGGTGCTGTATGTTGTCTAATATAGGATCAGGTCATAAATGGGGGTTTTCAGGAGCACAGCTTGAGAAGGGCTGCATTAATGGTTATGTTCTGGAACATCCTTCCAGTGGGAATGGCAGGAACAAAAAAAGAAATCTAAGTTCTGTCTTGGCAGAGTTAGGGAAAAGATTTATCTAATGGGGCCCTTGTGGTAGCAAGGACCTAGATTCAAAGGACCAATGACTTTTCAAATTACCTCTTTTTCAAAATCTCTTTATGAAGAAATACCATTTGACATGCCGTAGGCTTACTCTTATTCCAGTCTTCCCTGCCAAACCGCGGGGCTTCACTTACACTAGTAAACTGAGAAAGCCTGTTCTCTGGCTGGGCAAAGTGCTGGCACTGACTAAAATCATGCCAGGAATCATGCTCATAATTAGACAGTACAGACAACTGTGGGACTGTGCTCAAGCCCGTGCCCTTGCACTTTTTATTTTACTGGTATAGCTCTAGTATTTGAGTACCTTTATTTATTGCTGCCATATGTGGAGGATGTAGGAATTGTATATGTGAAAAAGAAAGTGTTCCTTGACACGCATGTTCCAGACTGTGATGAAAACTCTTTGTCCACCCTGTAAATAACTTCAGAGTGCAATTCTCCTTAGCAATAACTATGCCTGTATGTGTTCTAAGTTCAACAGCAGCTAAAAAACACTGAATAACAAAAAATATGTTAAAAATAAGTATAGATGTTTAGCTCCTAGAGCACCCACAACCAGGCACTGTGCTCTTCTCAGCAGAGAACAGGGTGTTCTAAGTAATGGAAGGAGCAATTTCTATCTCCCACCAACCTTTTTTTTTTATCACTATTACATAATTCTGCAGGAAAAACAGACCCGATAGCCAAGGAAAAAAATCACCAAAGCCAGCTAGTGAAGTGCTAATTGCTGAACCATAGCAATACATCTGGAGCAGCCCTTTTCTCTCTTCACCCTGTCTCCACGCTCACTCTAGCTCTCCAGGTGTTCTCCTTCAGCTCCGTTATGGAAACAGGTTTCAGTGACACTCACAGGTGCTATTTCCAACAAGATTCTTCCAAATTTTCAATAGCTACACAGTGTCAGCGTCCCCTACGTCCCTATTACCAAGTGTTGCTTCTTTTAGTCCAGCAGTCCAGAACCGATGATTAAAAAAGAATCTCTTTGTGCACCTCCTTGTTTACCCTTAGTTTTGCATACACCTATGTTGCCTTCTGTGTGGCAAGTAAAATTCTGAAAATAGGGTTTGTGCATATTTCTGTGTAGGCTGTGCCCACACTCCAGGTTTTTTCAGCCTATTAGTCCACAATGTAAATGTTAGAGTACCTTTCTCTGTTGTTTGTCCTAAAACACACCAAAAAATGAGGACGTTATGTTTGCAAAATAGTGAAATTTGGTGCTATGTGTACAGAGCCTTTTACATTAAAGGAATCAGTAAGTTGTAGCATTTGAGCATCTTCTGCGTGGGGGATGGTATCCAGCATCATAACTCTTATGTGGTTTTTACACTCGATGGTTGTTTCGGTGAATAAGAAGAAAATACTGTGCCGTGCTACTTTTCACAGGTTCACTCGCTATCTTTGAGAAGCATGTTTTGTTATACATATAATTCTCTCTGCTGTTAGGTATTAGGCCAACTTTAATATGGAAAATCAAGAGAAAACATGCTGGTTTGGTCTTTTAGCCAACAAACTTGGAGCACTTATCTGACTCACAACTGAAAACACATCAGTTGTCAAATGTGTATATGAATCATAAACCACACGGTTTGGTTTAAAAGGCCATGTAAATTAATTATGTTCCATGTATAAGACACAGGTGAATAATGAGGAAGTTTATTCTAAGAACTCTGTTTCATAGAACCACTTCGCTAGCATTTTTCGTATACAGTAGTTTCAGGAATAGATTGGGTTTTATATACAATGTGAATTAGAAGATACTAGGCTATTAGAGTGATTTTGTTGTGTTATGCTTGAAGCTTGAATTGATCACAAGCTTAGGAATCTAAGGTATTTATTTTATTGCTACAAAACTGCTTTTAAATGTCAAGATCTTTTTTGATGTTAACAGGATTTCACACTTCTCTTAATGTGTAAATTATTTTCTTGAAATTAGTATCTTAGAAAAAACATTTTTCCAAACTGCAGTTGTGTGGGAAAATTTATGAAATATATTTGTACTTTGACAGAGAATAATAACATGTTATATATTGAAGTCTTCAGTAACTGACTGTTAATAAGCTATCACTTTTACTTCTTCTTGATTACTAAGTATCGGAGTATACAGATTACTTTCCATGAAGAAAAAATTCAGAAACAATCTCTAGAAAAGTAAATGGGATTTTATATGCTTAACCTTCCAAGTTTCATTTTCA